CCACCACCACCACCACCACCACCACCACCACCACCACCACCACCACCACCACCACCACCACCACCCAGCTATTAGGTACTCTTAAGTAAGCAGGTTACAAGGCAGAGAAATATCTACTTTGGTTTTAGATACTATTTGATGACATTCTTAGTTGTTGGGGTTGATGAAAACTAGAGACTTGTTAATACATTATAAGTGTTTTATCTGACATTTGAAAATATGGTAGGTCAGACACAAAAGTATAAATATATGGCTACCAAGGGGACACAAGATAGCCCAAGGTAATTTGGTAATGCATCTGCAACATTCCATATGTCTACAGTCATAAACCCTAATCAATCAATCAGCCTTTTAAAAGCTTTAGCATAGGTGTGGCTTTATGGGGGAGCTTTAGTTCATAACCATGAATCAAAACAATGAGAAAACAGTATGCTGAGATGAGTGCTTACTGTAAAATTACAAAAATGTGCCACTGAATGAAAATGAACCCTTCCTATTGATGTTTTTAGAATAATTTGAGGGGTTTCTTTTTGGGTTTCAGTTTTTGATTGTTCTTGTTAGTTGTTTTTGTTGTTTTGAGACAAGGTGTCTTGTAGCCCAGGTTGGCCTCAAACTGTCTGTGTTGTGGAGGATGACCTTAAACTCCTGATTCTCCTGCCTCTATCTCCAAGTACTGAGATTATAAATGTTCACTACTATGTTCAGTTTTAGAGTGATTTGAAAATTAGGTATCTTGTATTTGAAGTATCTTTCATCTAGAAGGTAGGCATTTGGGAACGTGAGGAATTTCCAGGCATATTTTACCTTCTCAGAAACTCCTCTGAGAAATACAGATTTTATTATAAAAAAACATATTAATTGCTTTTTGTTGACCAACTACTACATAACCATTTATGATTTCCTCCTTGGTGTCAAGAGAAGGCAATGGCCCAAATAGTCCAAATCCCTGTTGTAATCAGAACTTCCCCACTGTTGTGGTCACAGCCAGTCTCCACACTAAGTCCAAGCTAAGACTTCTGCTAATGTTAACATGCAAATATCTTTTTGTGGTGATATTAAGGGTTAAACCATTCATGGAAAATTGATCACTTTACTGGGTGACTATGAAACTTTGCTTTCTGAGGTTGATCAGAAAGATAAAATAGGAGTATACTTTATCAACCACTCAGAGAGCCTGCTAGGATCATGCATAGTGTTCCCATGGGACCATGGCTTTCCCAGATGGAAGCTTCAAGTAGACTAAAGGCTGTAGCAAATAATGGAGTAGTGATCACTAGCCCTCAGTCAGTAGAACACTCCCAAAGATGCAATTTAGGAATTAGACAGGAGCTGGACAGGAAAAGACTTTGATATCCTGAGATGGGTCAGGAGGAAATTTTGCCAGATCCATATCAATTATCCTTGGCTTGCATGGGGAGGGATGTGAGGACCAGAGTCAGCTGAAGTCCTGGAGGAAGATAAATGAAATGATCATAGAAAAATAAGGGCAGCTCCCTATGTGACTCCAGGATTGAAGAAAGGTCACTGGTAGAAATAAATATACCACTTGATATTTAGACAACAGGTACAGAAAATGCTCATTAAGGAGGCTAGGAATGCCAAAGCCAGAATGCTCACCATGTCCCACTATCTTGAGGGGGAGGGATTTCAAGCATCTAGTGCCCTGCACATCAGTTTCCTGGGTGGACCTATTTCCAGGGACTGACCTGTGCAGGGCAGAACAGGTAAGAGCCTCCTTCCTTCATGGAGACCATAGGAAGATGGTGAGGTCCTCTGGGTGCCCCAGGGGGCTTATGTGAGGCCTTGAAACCATAATCATGTGTATCTAAGAAGCATATAGATGCTTTTCCTTTGTGTATGTGTCCATATTTCCCTTTTATCAGAGGAACATAGTCATATTGGATTAAGAACCCACTCTAATGACCTCATCTCAACTGCAAAGTCTCTATTGTCAAGTAAGGTTGCTTTTCACAAGTATTATGAGTTGTATTTAAGACTTCAATTAGTCTGTTTGGAAGGTACATTTTCAACCTGTAATATTATCCAGGTTCACGCACAGTAGGAGACTAATACTGAATATAAGCCTTCTCTCTAAGACTGTAATATGATTGAGACTGAGTCAGTATGTATCATACAATTCATATGTACATTAATTGAGGCAGTTTTTTCCCCTTCAAAATCTGTTATTAAATGAATGGCTCATCTTCCATCTTGCCAACATGTTATAAGTTGTTCTAGGCCTAGGGAGATAGGTCTGTCTGGAAAATGCTTGCTGCACAGCATGGTGACCTGAGTTTGGACCCTCTGCGTCCATGTAAGAAGAAAGCTAGGCATAGTGGTACATGCTTATAATGCTAGTTTTAGGGAGGCAGAGACAGGAGGAGTGTAGTGGGTAGCCATTCCAGCTTTGATCTGGAAGTTCCAACCCCCATTGAGGTTTCAGCAACTGTCACTCCTACAAGGCGGGGCCAAGGGAGGCACCTGGAGACCCAAGATCTGGATGGGCAGCACTCTCTGTTCCTGGACCCTTGACGGTGGAGGTTGACCAAGCAGAGCTCCAGAGAACACCGCTGGACTGTGATACACCTTCCCCAGACCCCACAACCTACCTATCCCTTTTTTGTAAGTTACCCACTAAATAAATCTTCCTTTTAACTATGTGGAGTGGCCTTAATAATTTCACCAATAGAGGAGCCCTGTAATCTGCTGGCCAGCTAGCTAGTTATGCCTATTCAGTGAGTTCCAGGTTGATTGAGACACCATGTATCAATAAATAAAGTGGAGGGTGATAGAGGAAAACATCCAATATTGACCTTTGGCCTTCATATGCATGGCCACATACATGTATACACACTCACACACATGCGTACATATAAAATACACATATATATGCACATGCATACACCACAGACACACATTAAATGTAAGCTATTCAATAATAAGAACAAAAAGCTTCTTTGTGTCTATGACCTGAAAGAACCTGGTAGGAAAACGGGTGTGTGCTCAGAGGTAATGTCTACAGCCTCTAGAAACTTTGGAAGGAAAGAAGAAGTGTGATACTCAATTCATTTCACAGAATTATTAAGCATCTGTTGTATAAAAAAGCTTCAGAGCTGCAAGGAGGTGGCAGGAGGCATCAGACTTCCTGATCTGAATCTTCAAGGAACAAAGACCTAGAACAGTAAAACAAGACTTCATATGGGCTATTTTGAGGCAGAGCTGGTTGTTCTAGTGACAGAAAAAAGAAATCAAGTCTAGGACATCATAGGACTCTAGTATAGATATAATGGATACTGTAACTAAATGATTTACCTGAATTAGAAATTCTTCTATGCTTGCATTTGTACAATGAATTCTGCATAGCTTAATTATGGCTAATTATAAGAGGAAAACAATTTTGTGATAAATGCTCAGATTCCATACTGGATGGCTTGCTGGAAAAGAGGATGTTGCAGGCATCTTCCCCAAGATAATTTCCTCAAGTTGTTTGGGAACTGTTCAGGCTTGTGGCTAGAGATTGTTGTTCATTCAAGTGCCCTTGGCCATGTGGCTGCTGTTTAGCTATTGCTGCTCAGAATTATTTTCTGACCTAGTAAGCATAGAGAAGTCAAGGATAGGTACAGACACTTGTAAAGTGTTTTCTCTGCTTGTAATTTCCTTTTCACTTTTCACAGCCTGAAATCTTATTTGTCCTTTCAGATTCAACTCAAGTTCAGATTCAATCAGTTCTCAAGTTCTGGAAACTTAGTCACAATGCTGTTTTTGATTATTCACTCCTGTTTGTTCTCATTGCCTCGTACAGCGTCTGGCACAATGCAGAGGGTTTAGAAACCATAATCTGGATGAAGGAAGCTGGAGGTCTAAAGGTTATAGGCTAACTCTGCTTAAAGGATGCTTAGAGAAAATAAAGGGAAGGAGAGGACACTTATCTAAATTTTAGGCAGAAGACCCAGAAGAACAAGACAGAAGCACAAAGGGGAAAAAGAAAAGTGAAGGGGAGACTGAGAAATGAGATCAAGATGGGGATGAAAACAAATGCAAGTTTTGTGTGAATCTAGTCAATGACCTCTGGTAGACCCATCCATCCTGTTTTCTGTAGAGAGCAGAGGAAGCACTGAGTAAATGCCATGGGCACAATCATGCCAATGACTCCAATGCCTCAGCCTCATGGGAGTGGCAAAGCCTTTCTGGGTGAGGCTCAGAGGTATGGTAACGCTTTCCTGAGGGTTTTCAAAACTACTGATCAGTGTGTACAAAAACTAGCAACTGCAGCTTCTTCTTTCTGGCTGTTTACAGCCTGTGACTGCTTACCTATAGAGACTTCCTACTGGGACTACCTAACCCCTCCCCCTCTTCTGTGCCCAATAAACATGCTGAGACTCCCTCCTATGGTGGCAGTAGTGTCACTCTGTCAGAGTGCACACCACACTTGACCCAAGCTTTTCTGTACTCATGCATCTGTTTTTTTTTTTTTTTTTTTCATCATTCCGTTTCAAGCCCTAGTCAAGATTCCAGGACCTAAGCAGGGCTGGATGTAGCAGTCTTCCATTTATGTTTGGCTATGTTCATTTAACCTTGGCATTACAGAAATAGAGTCCAGAATCCTATCCTCCCCATCTACTTAAGAAGGATTTCTAAAACCCTTGGCAGCTAGGAAAGTTTAGAGAGGAAACAAGGAGACCATGTTGGCTCTGAAGGTCAAGGTACAGTTTTACCACTCTGCTTCCCAATAGAAAACAGCCTCTGATCCTTCAGTAGGTAGGAAATCCTACTAAGAGATGGTGATCACCAATCCCATGATCATCAATCCCATGAGGGTTGGTGGCCTACCTTCCTTTGGTGTTGTCCTGGATGTAAGAATGGCCACTGGCTCTTTAGAACTCTCTTGTCCTCTCTAAGGCTCTTCTGGTCACAAGTCCTAAAAGAAGCTTCCCTAAGTTGGTTGCTACTTATAGTCTCTGGAAGAAGACAAAGGAACAGTTGTAGATGTCATTAGAACCATAGGTACTTTCATCCCTTCCACTGGCCTCCCAACTCCTCCTCCAGATTGTCAAGTTCCCAAATAGAGCTGTGTAGTCTATCAAACTCTTTTTCAGACTTCAGACACAACCACCTCATAGGAAGATCTCAAGACAAGAAAATTCACAGGTTTATGAAAAGCACACTAAACTCAGGAACAATAGGTTCTCTTAGGAAAATACAGGTTACATTTTTTTAAACAAAGTCTCTCTATGTATCTCAGGCTATTTTGGAACTTTATATGTAGACCAGACTGGCTTTGAACTCTCAGAAATTCATCTGTCTCTGCCTCTTGAGTGCTATTAAAGGTGTGTGCCACTACACCTGGCCCAGGATGTTTTTTGTAAATGGACAACATTCTGGGGTCTGCAGCAATTTTTTAGTTGGTGGGACTTTAGGAAAATAAGTTAGGTCAGTCTTGGGAACTGGTATCTGTTTCTTGTCTAAAGAATTTGTCAATCTATCCTCCAGAATAGATCAACAATCTTTAATAGGTCCAAGAATAGATACTAGCTGTCACTTCTCCCACTGAATTTAGTGGTAAAACTAGTGTTTAATCTAAGTCTTCTAAATCTATATCCTTTCAACTTTACTAATGAAGCCCATGGAAGAACCACTGGTAGTGTGTATATCTGAACCACAAAGAAAATCTTCCTTCCTCTAATCCAGGTCTCTTAATTTAAGTGTCATAATGCACTATGATTCTCTCCTTTAAGTTTCTGATCTTCAGAAGTCTGTCACAGAGGCCAGTGTGAATACTAGTAGAGCATAGGGCTGGGCATCTAGTGCATTTGAGGCACTCAAGGTAACTCCCCATCTTCTAGACTGAATATCCGAACTTTGTGATAGTCCAATTCTTTCAGTATTTTTCACGGCAACTTGGTTTGTCAAAGTAAAAGAACAAAATGACAATAGTTGGCATACTTTTATCATGGTATTCAGGATAAGGAGTCCCCATGGCCTATTGTAGCGAGAATTACTAAAATTGAATTCATGAGCCTGTAGAAAAGTGTCTCAGTTCCAGGAGTACCCAAGAATTCACCAAAAGTAGCATTTGGGCTCCAAGCAATTTGCCTGGCCACTTTCTGTGAAGCTTTTGAGAAAACCATGATACAAGTTATTCAAGCATTAGAGCTGACAAGCTGTTTTCTTGATGTCTGCTTGAGGTGAAACCCTCAGGAAGTAAGATGATGCTGGCTACTCTGTACATTGGCAGGTAACTTTTCTTAGTAGTGTAACCTCTAGTTTGCTGGAATGTTAAGTTGCATCTTTGTTCCTCCACCTTCACTAGCTACTTTGTACAGGTTACATTATGCAAGCTTCTCTATGCTTTAGATTTTCTGTACTTTACTATTTACTAGGAGAGTCCTCAGGGCTAGACATTGGGAATCATCTGGAGGATGGTCAGGGAAGGTGCTATATAGTTGGACTTTTTCTGTCCTGCCAGCTAGTTCCCAAATAACCTCGTGGATACTTCTTATTAATTATGAAAGCTCAGCTGATAGCTTAGGCTTGTTTCTAACTACCTCTTAAAACTTAAATTAACCCATAATTTTATTAATCTATGTTCTACCATGTGGCTTTTACCTCTATCCCATTTTGTGTGTCTGACTTGTTCTGCAACTGGCTGGCTTCTCAGCCCTTCTTCATCCCAGTGTCCTGTGTACCTGGAAACTTTTCCAAGCTATTGGCTGTTCAGCTTTTTATTAAACCAATCACAGTGAGATATCTTCACATAGTGTAAAGGAATATTCCACAACAAGGTGGATCAAAATTTCTGAGAAAGGGTCATAGTGCTTCAGCAGCTGGATGCTTTATTCAGGTTACTCACTCATAAACCACTCATATAATAATATCCATTTCTCAGTGGGTGTTAGGGATCATAATTACCACTTGTGGAATGTTTTCAAGTTTCCAGAAGAAAGATGATACATCACAGCAAAGTATGATTCTCCAAACTGTGATCTTAAGCTTCCCCTGGGGCTAACCAACATAAAATTGCCATTCATGAAACTGAGCTATTGTAACAAAGTATGATTATTACCCATAATGATCCCAGATTAATGTTTAAGGTATTGGTGTGCTCATGAAAACAACAACTCTTAAATTGGTTGCAAGTAAAGATGGTAGACTAAGTCCTCTGTTATGAGGCTTCATTACTTTTGGATTTGAAAAGTAAATAGAATCCTTTAAAAAGGTTGTTAACTTAAAAGAACAGCTAGCAACAGCATTCTTTGAGCATCTAACATATGGTAGGCTATGCATCGTACATGATCTCTCTGAACTTTCCTAACCAAGGTGGAAAAGCAGTTGTTTTTTTTTTTTTTTTGGTCTCCATTTTGCAGAAGACAAAATCTGAGCCCCCAAGATGTTAACTTGCCCAATAAGATGAACCTGGCCATTCTAAATAGTATGGCTGGGAGTGGAAAAAGCCAGATTTGAAGCCACTACAAAGTCCACACAGAAGCCAAGGAGACTCTGAACTAGATTAGGATAAGGATGAGTTGCACATCTCCAGTTTGGGCATCCCGATGAATAGACCTGCTGCCAATCACAGTGGTGACCCAGGATGGGAAAATGGTTGACAAGGTAAATGACTTTGGTGCAGGATAATGTGAGTTTGGAATAGTCAGGATTGTCTGGGTACGCTAGGGGCATGGAAAGGAAGTTGATATGCAAACTGGATTTACTGGCAACTCAGACAGATGTAGCTCAAGGTTCAGTCAATTTTGGGGAAACCTCCAGACCATAGTATGGGTCTGGGTGACAGGTGGCCAAGGGGACAGGTGTCTGTGATGATCTCACCATGGGACTCCTGTTTGGCGTTCACTCTCCTTAAGGGCTTCCATCCAGTCAGCGCTCCCCACCTCTGAGGTTCTCTGTGCCTTTCCTCCTCTTTTTGTAGTCGCTCTGCCTGGCAGGCCAAGATTGGGTTGCAAATATAATCACAGCCAGCCAGCCTGTAACCTCCAGGTCTGGCGAGCTCCGGGACGAGGCTTAGAGCGCATGCGCATCCTAGCTACGGAAGCCGGAAGGAGTGTCAGAGGCGGTTGGTTGCTTGGGTTTCTGCTGGTGGCGGCGTTGGCGACGCGGCTGGCTTTGGCAGCATGAACCCGCTGTAAGGCGTAGGCTTCGCGGCGCGGGGGGCGGGGGGGAAGAGGAGGACGCCTCGGTGAAGTTTTCCGCCATGAACCTGAGGGGCCTCTTTCAGGACTTCAACCCGAGGTGAGGCGGTTACGTTGGCGGTGCCAGACGGGGGCTTGGGTTCAGGCAGCGGCTGGGAGAGGAAAGGCGGCCGCGGTGTTGCAGCCTGAGGACCTAGGTACCGGCCCGAGGCTCCTCATGGCTGCCAGCTGCTCTCCAGAAAGCAGTGTTGGCCTCAGAGTCGGTTCATCCGCTTCTTCCTCCCGCACCAACTGGAACCAACTGGCGGTGGCCCAGGTTGCCCAGCTTGAAGCTGTGTCCTGGAGGGAAGCCCATTGCTTTCCACTCGTCTTCTTTTCTTGGTATTCCAACTTCTCTGTCTCGATTTCTTTTTTTTTTTTTTTTTTCCTCACCCCTCTGCCTGTTCCTATTCTCTCTGCCAGGGCCATCTCACTTGATCCTGACATTCCCCCCCCCAACCCCCCCCCCCCCCACCTTCCCAGATGTTTCCTCTAGTTCCAGCCCTTGGGGTTTTCCTTGAATTTATGCCTATCCGCCGTTTCTCTTCTTATTTAACGAACTGATATCTGAGATACTGAATTTTTAGAGTCGTTGCCAGGGTCTGGTAAATCTTACATAATGCCTTGAGGGTGAACTTGATCGTTTCCATACGCATTATCTTAGCCTTTGCTATAAGTTTATTCGCAAGAAGTAGATACTGCACTGCTTATTTCCCAGACTTGAAATACCTAATGGGCAGTGTGAAGAAAACATTGGCTAAAGTATAAATCCCTGTCCTTGCATTTGCTAAACTGTTGTAAAAAACAAACAAACAAAAAGCCTGTTCCCTCTGAGGGCTGTGAGCTCCTGAAACAGAAACCACTTCCTGGTTGTCCCCTTCCACAGCACCTCCCACCCACCCCATCTGTCATATAGTAGACACTTATAAAAAGCCTTTGAAAGTAAACTGAGTCAAGACCTAGACTGGAGCCCAGGCCATAGTTAACTAGTGATTCTTTGCTCTTCTTTAATAAGCTGTGAGATGAGTTCACTTTACTGATCTCTTTAAGTCCATTACTATGTAAAAGGAGTATCTGTTCATTTATTTGTAATTCGAAGACATGCACTCAAGTAAGCTAGTCTTGCTCTGTGTGCTAGGTCCTGTGCTAGGTACTTAAGATGCTTGTCAGTCCCAGCCTGGAAGTAAAGGGAAGGTAGATAGATGATTTGCTGTATTGTGCATTCCTGAACTTTTCCAGCCCAGCGAAATCACTTTCTTGGCTGTTTGTTGGACATGAAAGGAACTGGAGAGGAGGAGCGGGGATTATTTGTAGTGCAATCTCCTTGAGGGTGGTGACATTTTAAATTATAAAGCCACTGATAGTGGCTGGGTGCTCTTATTTGTCTTTGTGTTCATATTCTGCCCTTGATCTATGATCATTACTGTTGGCCTTGAAAATATTCTGCGGAGAGGAAAGTTCATTTAGAGTAAGTATACTATAGTTTTTCCTCTGGTGCTCCTATGAGTTAGGTTTTGTCTATAGGACAACTACAATGGTACTGAAGCTGGACACATCTTGTGTATTTTCATTATTTGGAGAGGATGATAAGAAAGAGAAATAAAGGCTGAATTGTTTTGTGTCCTTGGGAAACTCACTTATCTGTCAGTTTCATCTGTAGTATGAGTATAATTTTTCACAAGGCTATTGAACCTGAATTAATGGCTGATTGCAGTGTTACAAATAGAAAGTTTTTTTTTTTTTTTTAATTACAGATCAGCTAGTCCAGAAGCTGCAAGGTGATGTTCCAAGTTACCTAGGAGTTGTGAAAGCAAAATAGTGGTCCACTTATAATGAATGCCCTTAACCAGTTTTTCCTTTAGCATTTTTCCCCTCTGAATACAAGTTTAAAAACTATAATGAAATACTTTGAAGAGATTTATACTGATCATCAATACACTTATTAGTGCTTTAATTCTAAGTGGAGTAAAATGCATCTCTCCCTAAAAAAATTTAAAGGTCTCTTGTAGCCCACCATTGTCCTGACTCAGTGTTATTAGTGGGAAGGAACAGTGTTACCTTAAAGATGTTTCAAGAATACAATGACCAGGTGATACAAGTCAGAGTTTTCTTAGCTGGTGGTATTTCGTGTATTGTTGATGATCTAGTTTTTAACATTGTGTTTTAATCTTGCTCCATGCTGACAAAAGCCTTTCAGATATATGGGGAGCAAAATGAGGGGAAACACCCTGTGCTAATAACCTCAGATCTTTATACTGCTGTCTTGTTCTCTGTCTCTAATTCTCAACCAATTCACGAATGTTCCTCTTACTCTAGGACTTTATCATACCTACTTATTTAATAGGAATGATTCTTTCTCTCCTTGACTTCATTAACTCCTATTTATCATTCAAATTTCTGCTCACTTAATAGTTGCTGAAGGATTTTGTCCTGGCTTCTCCAACCTGGTCCACTACTCCTTGTTTGTACAATCTCTGTAGAATACATAGGTTCCCTGTAGAGCACTTACCTGTGCCCTTGAATTTGTCTTTCTTTATTTAATATTTCTCTTCCCTACTGAAATTCAAGCCATGTGAGGCCAAACCCATGACTTTTATTACTGTTGTTTATATGCATGAGATAATAGCTGGCTCTGTAAGTATTTGTGAAATGAATGATAACTCACCACAGCCTGTAGGAAAAGTCTAAAGCTGCTTCTTTCAATGACTGCTTTCCTGCTCAATGTATGGACTATTTATTTTTCTTATCTCTAGCTATATCCCTTCAGAGTGCAACTGTTCCACTGACAAGATGGGAAAGACCTTAACAGTATAGGAGAATGTTCTCTGGAGATTATTAATGTATCACAGAAATAGCTACTGTTATGGCTTGGTGGTCTCTACCTTTCAAGTCTTGGTCAGTGAGAATTCACTGCAGTATTGTCAATTTTCTAGAAATAGTAGTAACAGAATGATTCAAAAGTGTTTAGCAACCAGCTATGAAGGGCTGACAGCTGACCCTCTACCTATTTCCAACTGCTACAGAACTGGTTGATCATGAACTTATTTTCATAATGGCCCTTTAGTTGCACAAGTCAAAATTCTTGAAACATACTATGTCTACCAAGAATCCTTCTTGACTGCCTAAAGCCTCTAACATCTTTACAGATTAAACAGACTATTAGAAGTATACAGAAATGGAAAACTGATTCTAAAATGTCCCTGGGAGGTAGAGATTTGGGAGTATGTGGCTTTAAATGGGCAACCTGACTACATCACAAGTCCTCAGGGTTGTCTGCTCTTTTGGTAGAGTTGTTATTTGTTAGAGAAGACCCTTCAGCCCTGGTAGCTATACAGCATTGGAAAGCTATGAGAACTCTGCTTGGCATACTGGCTCATCTGTAGTGGGCTCCTGATGCGAGTGAGGTATATCCCTTGGGTATTCTAGACTGGAACAAAGACTGAAAAATGCCTTTTGGGGTGGTGGGTGTTATGTGGACATGTGTAGATGTAACAGTCTTATTAAATAAGAAACACAGAGCCAAATGCAGAGTTAAAAGCCCAAGAGGTCAGAGCAGTAGCTAAGAGCTGATACTCAAAACCTTTCTTACCCTTTGCTGCTGCTGTCGTCCTTCCCCTCAGAAAGAGACCTACTTTCTGTGTATCTTTTTATTGACGTTCTGTTCTGCCTTCTCATTGGTTGTAAACCCAACCACATGAACTCCTCGTCACTGCCTGTCTATACAGACCTCCAGGTTTTCTATGGTTGGTATTGAGATTAAAGGAGTGTGTCTCTATGCTGGCTGTATCCTTGAGCACACAGAGATCTGTCTGTCATGTAATCAGGATTAAAGGTGTGTGCCACCACCACCCGGCTTCTCCTATGGCTTGCTATTAGCTCTGACCCCCAGGCAACTTTATTTATTAGCATACAAATAAAATCACATTTCAGTACAAATAAAATATAACCATAGACATGTAATACTATTGAAGTAAATTATCTTTGCAAACTTATTGTATGCTTCATCTTCTAAAGCCATTCTTTAGTCTTTGTAAGTTGTCTTTTATCTAAAATCAGAAAAAAAAAATGAATGTGGTTGTTGGTGACAGTTCACTAATGGCCTCTGCAGGCACCAGATACTTACATGGCATACAGACATGCATACAGGCAACATACCCATTCATATAAAGTAAATTTTTTGAAAAGAATTGTTTAAAAAGAAAGGGCAGTGTTGTATGACCACTGCAGATGATGTGTGCAGTGTTTTAAAAATACACGCTGTTGAGGTTAGTGTATAGTTCAGTGGTAGAGCTCTTGTCTAACATGTGCGGGGTTTTAGGCTTGATTCTCTCCAGCACTGTAAAAAAGTACATAGTGTTAGTTACTCCAAATAATCCTTACAGGTTGTATTTTTTAAAAGCAGGCCACTGATCTGTCAATATGAGTGTACTGTCTGTACTGATAATGAATTACTGTCTGAATGACTGCACATCTGTTGTTGGGGTGTATAAGGCCACTGATAGAATATTCTCATGACTTTTACTGATTAATAGTTGTTAATAAATGCTATGACTTATGAGCATCCACCATGTGTCAATACAGTATTGCCACTTTACTTTTCATTATCTTTACTCTTTATAATAGCCCTGCATATCAGAAAACAGCTTCATTATATTTTATTTTCTAATTTTAATACATTTTTGTTTATTGATTGTGTATGTATGTGTGTGGGTGCACATATTACATAGTGTGCATATGGAGGTCAGAGAACAGTTTGTAAAAGTCAGTTCTCTTCTTTCAGCATGTGGGTCCTGGGATTTGAAGTTATCAGGCCAGTGGCAAGTGCTTCTGTCTGTTGATTCGTCTCTGGTCCCAAACAGTTTCATTTTACAGAGTCTGGGTTTTCTCTAAAGTCAAACAGGCAATTATGAACCAAATCAGGATTCTAATCCAGGTTAGGTTTCTTCTGAAGCTTTTTGTTCCACCCTACATGTCCTTTCCTTCTATAACAGAGTATGTCCAGTGTACTGAGGGGCCATTTTGGCTAGTGTTTTGTCAACTTGGCATCAGCTAGAGTCATTTGGAAAGAGGGAACCTCAATTGAGAAAATGCCCCCCCCCCAACCAGATTGGTCTGTGAACAAACCTGTGGGGCATTTCCTTGATTAACAATTGATATAAGAGGACTCACCACTCCTAGGCTGGTTGTCCTAGGTTCTGTAAGAAAGCATGTTGAGCAAGGCATGGGGAGCAAGCCATTAAGCAGCACCATCTGTGGCCTCTGCATCAGCTCCTGCTTCTAGGTTCTCTGTTTGCTTGAGTTCCTGCCCTGACTTCCCTAAGTGATGGACTGTTAACCTGTAA